CTCCTCCCCGCCGCTGCCCCCTCCGACCCCGCACTCACCGGCCCAGCTGGGGGTCAGGACCAGCGCCCCCGAGAGCAGCAGGAGGAGAGTGAGGGGCTTCATAACCGGCATCCTCGGCGTCGGGGGACCATCTGAGTCCCGGCGCTTCCGCGGAGGAGTTATAACCGGGAGCCGCGGGGACGCTGATTGGCTGGAAACCGCTCAGCCAATGGGAGTGAGAAATGTGGCCGCGTCACGAGTCTCCAGGAAGGAGTCGCCGACACTGGTTGGGAGAGGAGAAGTGAAACCAGGGCGCTGGGGAGTCCCCCACACGGAGCTGCCCCCCCAGACTCTGTTCCTGCGGAGCCCTGAGCGCAGGCCTGGGCGTTGGGACTCGGTCCTGACCCTCCTCCTGCGCGGGGCGCCCGTCACACTGTCCCCGAGGCCTGACCCAGGCGCTGTGCTGTTCAGGGACTTTCCAAGGTTTTGGTGTCACCATCTCTGTGCGGCCTCACACACAGGCAGGCGCCCAGATAACCTTGTGTATGTGGTGACGTCATCATAGTGACCCTCACGGAGTCACACAGGGTGAGACAGTTATTAATCCATGTCGCATGCTCACTGCCTATGAGATGCTAACAGAAGTCATGTGTTTTTAAAAATATATTTTATATTGATTTCAGAGAGGAAGGGAGAAGGAGAGAGATAGGAACATCAATGATGAGAAAGAATCATTGGTGGCTGCCTCCTACATGCCCCACACTGTGGATTGAGCCCACAACCCAGGCATGTGCTCTTCTGACAAAAAGTTGAGGTGTGACCTCCTGTTTCATAGATCAATGTTCAACCACCCTGCCCCGCTGGCTGGGGAATATTGAATAGTTTCTGTTCTGTTCTGTCACAGTCCCCAGGGCTGTCTCACTGGGTGGCTCTGGTCCTCATGCAGGTTATGTAAAGTGATGCCTTGTGTCTCTAAGTCCTAGAGACCTTCCTGTGCTGATGCATTTAATCACATTATCAAAGCTCACAGGTGTTGCTGTTCCCACAGAGCCCCTAGAAAAGCGTGTCAGCACTGGGGAGTGGTCTAGCTCCCGTGGTGGGACACACCTGTTCCAACATTCTGGTTTTCTCTTGGGGGCTGACATTGTATCAAGACAACAGGCCTGTCAGTTGTCACCTGCCAGGTGATATTTCCTGAAGGAGAAGCTCATGTTCATTTTTCAATTGGACATGAATTTTCCAATTCACCAAATCTCAGCAATCCCAGTGTCTGTGTCATTCATTCTTTTAAGTCAACATGGGCCAGGCCGGGTGTGGCTCAGTGACTGAGCATTGACCCGTGAACCAGGAGGTCAGGGTTCCATTCCCTGTGAGGGCACCTGCTGGGATGCTGGCTAGATCCCCAGTGGGGGGCGTGCAGGAGGCAGCCTATCCATGAATCTCTCCCTTCATGGATGTTTCTGTCTTTGTCTCCCACTCAGTTCCTCTCTGAAAGCAATTTTATTAAAAAAGGAAACATGGTGCAGGGCAGCACCTGGGTGTCCCTGGACGCGGGGAGCGGGGCAGCCGGGTGGTGCTTAGAAGCTGTGCAGAGCCGGGAGCCCTGGCCCGGAGCCTCTGCCTCGGGGACCGATTCTAGGATTGGTAGGAGATGGATGAGTGCCCTTGGATGACCCCCCCCCTGCAATTGTTATGGCTCATAGAGGGTCTCGGGCCTGGTGGCAAGTAGATCTCAAACATTTCATCTGACCTGTTGGCCTGGAGCCCAGACCAGCCATGGCTGGAAGACCCATCCGCATAGGAGACCAGCTCGTCCTGGAGGAAGACTATGATGAGACCTCCATCCCCAGTGAGCAAGCAATCCTTGAATTTGCCAGAGAGACAGGTATTGATCCCATCCAGGAGCCGGAATGGATGTGGCCAGTCCAGCCACGATGAGCTGCAGAGCAAATGGTCCCAAGGCTCCGAGAGGGAATCCCCTTCACTTCTGTACGGGGAGCGGGTTGGGAGCCCCCAGCACAGCCAGGCCACAGTGAAAGGGCCTGTGCAGGCCCCTGCTGGGCAGCCTGAGCGGCGGGGACACAGGAGCCCCCGGAGGGCTCTGCACGCAGCCCCCTCCCACCCGAGTCCCTGCACAGGCGATCTCCAGAGCTCGTGGCTCTCCCAGAGCAGCTCCCAGAGGCCACCCCGGAAGGCCATGGAGGAGGCGGTGGCTCAGGAACTGGAGCAGGAGCAGAGGCGACGCCTGGAATGAAGCAGGAGAAGGTGCAACAGCTGCGGCAGAGGCTGCAGCAGGAGGAGGAGAAGGTGCTTCAGCTTTGACAGCGGAAAGAGGAGCCTCTGAGGCTCCTGCAGGAGCAGCTGCAGGAGGCCACTGAGGAGGAGGGACTCAGATGAGAGAGGAGGAGAGTGGAGACTGGCCCGGCTCCG